GGTGGTGCACAGCCCTGACCTTTGCTAGGACTTTCAAGGGCTACTAGCTTTGGGGGGGGTCTCTGTCTAAACTCAGCTAGTGAAGACAATGAATGGACTCTGGCAATTAGGTATTAAATTTTTAATTATACTAACATACTACGTTTTTCAAAAGCCTGAAGCAAAACTCTATGTGCCATGTTATGCTGATACAGAGAGAGGAAATGCTTCAACATGTTGACAGTAGCTTATTTGTGATTGTGGAACATGATGTTTTTCTTTTCTTCTTTATACTTTTTTGTAATTTTCCAAATTTTCTATAGTGTTCATATATTGTTTATATACTCAAATAATAAGATGTTAGAGAAAAGCATTCCACTTATGATAGCAATAAGACTCACAAGCATATAATATAAAGGAAAATCTAAAATACTTAGGGACATATAAGAGCTATGTAAAAACTATGGCATAAACTAACGAGAAACACAAAACCCAAGCCTTTTGAGGGAAACAGAGGCCAGATTTTCCAGGAAGGAGGGGACTACATTAGGCGGTGCCTCAGGTCTGCAACCCTTGTTCATCCTAACAGCAACCATAAACCAGACTTCGCTTTTCTGCTGCAGAGAAACAATTTCTGATACCATCTGGGGACTCTTCAGATACATTCTGGCAAACAGAAATAATTTTTCTGTTTAAGGATGTATTTGTCTCTTGAATTATGAGAGGACATCGTGGACAAGGTCATCTGTAGAACTCAACCACAGAGTCTAGCCCTTTGAAATAATTATGTCACTTGAGTATCCAACCTTAATACATTTTCAGGTGTTCGGCAGATATTACTGGTAAAAATGTAATAAAGAAGTGTCAAGGAGGCAGCTGTGTGACCAAATCCTGCAAAGTCGACAGGGTAACAGGGCTGTTTGAAAAAGGATGTGAGTTCCTACCTGATCGTGAGCAGACGGAGAAGGCTTCCATAATGTTTTCACCAAGTGTTAATTCTGTAAGTATCTTTTTTTTCTCTCAACACTATGAATTCAATGAGGTTTTTATCCCAGATGCTGCAGGAGAGGATCAAATTTTAGGAAGGCATCACTGAGCAGCTGAATCTCTGTGGGACCAGCCAAGAGTGCACAGTCAGGGTGAAGTCCTGTCTCCCCCTTCCTCTTCTTCAGGTTCATTCTTGCTTCTCCATCCTCTCCTTCCCACTAGCTTTTAGTTTCAGTGTTTAGAATGACTTCAAATATCCTTAAAAGCAGACAAACACAAAGTTTTTTCATTAAATAAGAAATTTACCCAGGGGGATTCTTTTAATTAGTTAATAAGGACAAGACCAGTAGCCTTTAATTTAATTTTCAGAGATCTCTTTTCAGCCTGCCTATTTACTTTTAGTTGTTAAGTAAAATTTTCTCTCTTGTTTGGTTTTTTTGTGTGTGTTGTTTGTTGTTGTTGTTGTTGTTGTTGTTTATGAGTTTATCTGAACCACGCTGACAACATATGCAAGGGAGCAAGATCTCAAATGCTCCTGAAAGTTTCTCTTTTTAAGAGTGTCGGTGCCCTTACGGAGTTTGTACATAGTTTTAATAGCTTACAAATATTTCTTAATGGTTTTTCAATGACAAGTTGGCCATAAGATAAACCTGAAAAAATTATCCTTATTAATGCTAAATATATACATCAATGAATTTGCACAAACTAAGATTAAGTGCTTCAGTTAACTGATTTTAGTGAGGAGTCCCTCTTATCTTCCAGTCTCTTACATAAAGTGATGTTTTCCTTTTGGAAAAGAGCAGCGGTTCTCAACCTATGGGTCGAGACCCCTTTGGCGGTCGAACGACCCTTTCACAGGGGTTGCCTAAGACCATCCTGCATATCAGATATTTATATTACGATTTGTAACAGTAGCAACATTACAGTTATGAAGTAGCAACAAAAATAATTTATGGTTGGGTCACAACATGAGGAACTGTATTTAAAGGGCCAGAAGGTTGAGAACCACTGGAATAGAGGGTGAAGTAACTTGTCAATAACAACATGATACACCATGGTTCCTAGGCCCATCCTTCACTCTAGTTTCGCAGTCCACCTCCAGACTTGCTCAGGAATTTCCCAGAGGTTCCCAGAGTATATGTTCTAAATTAACCAAGCTAGAGTTGAAGTGGATGCATAGTGAAGTTTGGGAACCTCTGCCTGGGGTTTTACGCAGAAGTTTTTCAGATTCCCTTACTCAAAAGTAAATAGAATGATAACATGGAAACACTACCAAAATGATCTGAAAAATGCAAAGAGAAAATTGTTTTACAGCTAATGATTGCATTCTAAATTATAGAATCCCAGGCATTTAAGATTTTTAATTGAATGATAATACTATAAAATAACTGAGAAGGAGGACCTAAATTATACCTACTTTAGGTATACTATGCTTCCTTTTTTAATCCCCCAAATGCTAGCAATGTAAATGCTTAATAAAAGGAAAAAAAAAACACTATCACTTATTGGCTGTGTTAGTATTGACCCTATTGAATATGTTCTTATGTAATTCTTGCATAGTAACTACTACCATTTTGTAGATTAAAAAACTGATGTGCAGTTTTTTTTATATTGAGCTTTTATTATGTGTCACATACTGGACTAGGTTTTGAGGAAGCAAAATTTAATAGGACAGGTTTCTGACATAGGTGGATTTACAGTTCAGTAAATGCATTACAATGTTGAAGGGGCCTTACTAAAGTTTCTATAGGGCACTGTGAGGCCACAGGGTTGAGTGAAAATTTCGCTTTTCTTTGGTGGAAAGGTAGAAAATGAGAAACTATTTTGAAAATGAACTTTCGGCTGAAACATGAAGGTGTGGTTCACAATGCAGAGGACAGAAGAAGAGGCACTCCTTTACAAATGGGGATCATGAGCCAAGTCAAGATATACAACAGCCTGACAAGGCTACCATGGGGGGAATCAAAGACTTGGACTGCACAGCCAGAGTGAAGTGGAGAGTGAAGGAAAAATGCATTTTATAGAGATTGCTGTTTGCTATGTGACGTAGTACAGACTACTTCACAATTAAGAGCCACCAAAGGGTCTTAAATACAGGAGTAAGAAGGAAGATGCCTCTGGAAGCTATGGAGTGGACCAATTGGAAGGGGAGTGAACCATGTCCAGCACAGCCAGGGGTGAGCCTGAGGAGGGGCAGTGAAGGATTAAAGAAAACAGACAAGAGAATACAGTTGGGGCCAGGTGGATCACTGCCTGGATGAGGAAACAGTGACACAGACTGTAAGCCGAAGATTTATTTTATAGTCAGATCACACAAAGCAAAACAAGGGGAGTGGTCAACATGTTTACAATGTCCTTATAAGTTTCAAATCTATTTTGTTACTCAAGCCTTGTTTTGGCAGCACTTGCTGCACCTCCCACAGCCCATTAGCTACCTAGGAACAAGGGAGGACCATAAGGTCAAGCTTAATTGTGCTAGGAGGGCTCTGCCCTCCAAGCTGGGACTTGTATGTGGCTCTGCCACAGGTCAGTCCGAGGCTTGACCCTATAGCCGCTCCCTACAGGGGAGCAAGGGAGAAAAGTCAGATAGGAGACTGCAATAGTGTGATGAGGGACCGTGAGGGCTTGAATGATAGAGAGTCCATTGGAAAAGGAGAAAAGATGATGAACTGGAGAGACAGTGAAATGGTTATTTTGTAGGTGGGGGAAAGCTAGAAAAACTCTCAGGTTCCTGAGTTAGAAGATTGGGTGAATAGTGGTGGCATCAAGCTAGGAAATACATGAGGAGGAGGAACAAAGTTGGAGGAAAGGTGACAAGGTGACGAGTTCAATTATGAACATGTGCGGTTTGAGGAGCTGGCAGAACACCCAAGTGGATTTCGGAGAGAGCTGAATGTTGGGTGTTAAAAGTTGGAATGTGAGGTGTTGGCAAGTGATTGGGAAGGAAAGAAGTGAGTGGAAATGAAAGGATGGAAAGATAAGATGGTACCACGAGAGAAACGCTGAAATGCAGGTGTCTTGGTGATAGTGGCGATGGCTCAAAATAGAAAAGTAGGAAGGAAGCCAAAAGCAAGCAAATGATTGCTGTGAAGCCCTAAGGTTTCCACAAGGTTGAGCGCATGTTTGGAGATAGGAATTCTAATTGTGACTGTGATTTTCTCCAGCAGTGCTCTGCAGTGATTTGGAGACTGGACCAAGATTATGAGTGAACAAAGCAGACTAGGGAGGAGAGCAAGGAATTAACATACTTTAAATTAATCAAATCATTAAAGATTTTAACCAGTAGTTTATTGTTATCTATGTCATTTTACTGACAATTTCAGGTGGTCGAATTCTGTACAGAAAAAAACCACAACAAAGAAGCCCCAAACCTGCAGAACCAAAGATGCAACCTGCGAAGCACCTGGGAAGTGATTAGCGGCTCTGAGGACTTTAAGAAAACCACTCCTATGACGACACCACCACCCAAACCCACCTTCTCATTGCTGCAGATCGGACAGAGAATTGTGTGCTTGGTCCTAGATAAGTCTGGAAGCATGAAAGTACGTGCAATGAGTCTCAGTCTCTGGATGCAGATCTCACATTTGCATACAGTATAATCTAGCCAGCCCAGAGAGTCCGATGTTACAGCACTCACACTGCCATCAGGAATGCCTACCGCCACTTTAGTCAACAAACATTCAGCATCAAGTGTCTCATTTGCCAAATTAAATTAGCTTTCGATTTGTGAATTACACAGCCTTAACATATATGTTTCCCTGACAGTGCACAGGTCTACAGACCTGTTTCTAAAGCCTAACGATTGAACTACAGCCTAATCTGGTTTTACCTTTTAGGGCTATTTTTACAAAGGCCCAAAAATTCTACTCCAAAATACTACTAAATATAAAGGAGAAGATTTCTCCCATAGAAGGATATGCCTTGAGTAAGCTTGCTCCCATTTACTCTCTGTTGAGACAACCCCTTCCAAATTCCCTCTGGCCTGTTCTGTTATTAGTCTGCCCACCTAAACACAACCTGACTGCCTGTCTTCTGCTTCTCCATTCAGAGTGGTGACCGCCTAAAACGAATGAATCAAGCAGGCAAACTTTTCCTGCTGCAGACGGTTGAGCAAGGGTCCTGGGTAGGCATGGTGATGTTTGACAGTGCTGCCCAAGTCCAAAGTGAACTCGTACAGATAAATGGTGGTGCGAAAAGGGATGCGCTCATCAGAAAGTTACCCACAGCGGCCTCAGGAGGAACATCCATCTGCAGTGGACTTCGATCAGCATTTACTGTGAGACAAGTTCCCCTATTGTGGCTCGTCAATGTTTACAACTCATGGTTAAGAAATCCCCCCTTTCCAGTGTTTCCATACATGCCTAGTATCTGGTTGAATTAGACAATGAAGGGTAGAGCAGTGGTTCAAATGATACAAAGACACAGCCCTGCAAAACTATTGTTAACTAGTTCATTCATGCTTTCGTGCTTTTCCACATCAATGCATTCCTGCTTTCCTACATGCATGCCTGCATTCAAAATATTCATGTGTGCCTGCTATAAGCAAGGCACTGTGTTGGGCATTAAGAATACCATGAGGGCCAAAGAGACACCACACATCCTCCTGTCATAGAGCTTATAATCTTATTGGGCAGATACATTAACCACATAGTCACACAAATAAGTTAATATGCATAAACTATAATGATTGCTATGAAGGAAGGTACACAGGGATACAACAGAGTATCTTCTATGAGAAAAAAAACATGAACTCTGAGTTATGGTTAAATTTTGAGGTAGCTTAGCACTCCAAGCTTCTGGGCACAGAAGGACCTCCTTTTGTGCAAGCAAATGGTTTATTTATTGAAGCAGGAGGCCTTAGGAAATATAACTATAAATGTATTGGGGGTATATCCAAAGGTCCCATCTGACCACACCCCATCCCTCTACTTAGATATCAATATCTCGCCATTTTCAATAAATTTAAGTAAAAATTTCTCCAGCTAATATTTAAGGCATTCACAAAATAATCCCTACTTCCCTCACAAGTCTTAAGTACCGGGGACTCTCTTCCAGATGTTTAAGCAAGTGAGACCACCTGTCCTTCAGAGCTCCTGCACGTTTGCCAGGCTAGTTCCCCACTTAGAGTACTTTCTCCTCCCTCCTGTGCACCTCAGAGCACTGTTGTTCTTCAAAGGACCATACTTCTTGACCCCTTTCCTGATCCTTCTAACTGTGTAGAATTGCTCTTTCTGAATCCCATGACCT